CCGCCCCTCAGCTGCGCGCTGCTCCTGCGGCGGAGCCGGGCCAGGCGGGCCCGTGGCGAGGAGGGGACATGGTGCTTTAACATAACGCGCCGTAAATCACCCAGCGCGGGAGCGGCGCGCGGCCAGGCCAGGCTGAGGACGAACCGCGCCGCCGTCTGCCCGCCCCCAACGCCCGCACCAGCCGCACCAGCCTGCTGGCCTTCACTGGCTCCCTCCTCGATGCTGTCGTCCCTTAAGCGAACAGAAAGCCGGTAGAGGGTCAGAGGTGTCTCTGCTCGCGAGGGCAAGTTGAAACTCTGGGACCCCCGCAGCGGACTGTGGCTGGTGCAGAAGAGAGCAACAATTTCGGGTCCCTGTCAGGCAGGCAAATAGTGGTAACACGTAAGGTGCCACACTCTCAGCTGGAACTTGAAAGATGAAAGAAGCACTAAATAGCTTGAGAGAACAACTCTGGAAGTTTATTAACGCTTTGTGTGCCTATGTAAGTAGGGTGTGTATAGGTAATCTCTTGGTGTGTGCCCGTATGTAACGTACAGGCGCACAGAAAAAAAGGGGCAAAGAAAGAGGGACAGGAACTCCCCCGAGAGCTGATGAGAAAGCTTTCTAAGGCACTTTAACCGGCTGGTGACATCTCCTCCTAGGATTTCCAAGACCAAAATTCCCTCCAAACCTCAAAGTCTAAAACATTGTGTTGCAGCATCCGCAGATGACCCTGAAACAGTAATCAAGCTGGAGTTAAATTCCTTGTTCTTGAAAGAGGTCGAAGGACGTGAGATACAAACCCTCACAAGAGGTAGCGCGTCTCACAGTGCAGCCTCTTTGGGTAGCGCGGGGCAGGGCGACGTCGCCGCTTCCCTAATCCCCTCCCCCCCCACGCACTGGGAGTCTCCCCCCTCCCTTTTTTTTTCCTGTGAAATGTGAAAATTTATTCATCTTTTATACGGTTTCCAGTGGAACTCTTCGTTTCTTCCTCCCTCCCTCCCTCCCTTTGCTGGGTGGGCTCCGTGGGTGCCAGAGGGACGTGCACACCTCATGGTGCACAGCTCGCCTCACACTGCAGCCAGGAGCTGGTCCAGGCGGGCAACTACTGAGTTTTAACTCATCAGCTTATTGTACACATGTTCGTGTATATACACACCCCCCCCCACATGAGTGGGGATGGAGGGGAGGGAGAGGTGAGTGAGAAGGAGATTTAGAGTTCGTACGTTTTGTATTATTTGGGGCTCTGTGGCATTTCCTCTGTATTTATTATTATTTTCTGGGAAATACACAGAAGACACGGGATCACTTTACTTAAAAACACGTCCCTGTGTACGAGCTGCTGCAGGAAGCGAGTTCTGAATGTTTCCCCCGCTCTGTCACTCTGGGGAAGCTTCTTCCCATCCCGAAAGGACGAGTCTCTGGCTTTATTTCGTGTTAGAAAAAATAAACCCTAAATCCAACTATACGTTTTCTAAAAATTAGAAAAATACAATTGAAAAATCAATAAAGAACTTGAGTTCCAAGAGTGCGTTTGCGGATTTGTTCATTTTAGTCCCAGTCACACCCATGAACGGTATTAACTGCTTTGAGCTTTTTATGCAAAACAATGCTCATTCGCCACAATAAAATCTGGTTTTGGATTTAGGGGAATGGGAGATTAAAATGCGTTGGGTCCCTGTACAGATAGATATTTTAAAACAAGATGCTCTTCTGTTCAGTGGAACTTTCTTCCCTTTTCTTCTCCTTTGGAGAACTAAGAGAGCAACCTTTATCTGTACTTTTTTTTTAAAGAAAGAAAAATCCATTGTGCCCTTTACTCGCAGAGAAATGCTTTAAATCTAGAAATCGATGTAGAACACTATGTTTTATCATTTGGATTCGGGGAGGAGGCAAGTAAAATCCTTAACGAAGCCATTTGCGCTTCCTCTGTCCGTTTGTCCTGTTTTCCAGGAAGGTTCCTGCGTTTTATTGCAGGAGAAGGACGCAGAGAGTATGGGGATTTGGTCCTTCTTAAAGTTACCGTGGGATTTTCAGGATTTTCTTAAGGGAGTGACACATTATTTCGTTTCCAGAATACCTGTAACGATTTTCTGTTGGGATGGCAGATAGGAAGAAGTTTATAGAAATGGAAAAGGAGTAAAAGGCGGGTTGAGAAAGTTTTTGAACCAAGGACTAATGGATCACAGTGTGAAAAGTGGAGGATTATTTCTGCTGTTTGGTCTAAATAATGTTTTTCTTGCACAGTCCTGGTTTGGATGACCTTGTTTTGTCTGTATTTAAGGCTCTGGTGCTGGTTTTCAGTGTCTTACGCTTTGTTGTGGTACGAAAAGCAGCATTTCCTCCCCTCCACAGTATCGTCCTCTTTTTAAAATAAACAATACGAGGGGGTTCAACACTGTTCAGTATAAATAAAACGCCTGACTCACTCAATGTACGTAATTATTTTGGGAAAAAACCAACGCCGGCTTCTTTTCTCAGGTCTTTAGATTTGGAAACGTTGAAAGCGAGCCCCAGTTAGGAGCGCTTACGTTAAGTAACACATTGTGAGTAAGAAATTTAAACAGGACAATGTAAAAGATTTGGAAGGGATTTTAAAACACATCAGTACTCCCAGTATTTCTTTCTTCTGTACCCTCCTTTTCTCAGTCTCAGAAGTTATTAAACTGATCTTCAAGTTACTAGTCCTACTTATTCCTACTTTTAAAAGCAAAATAACGTAAAAAGCTGCGGGCACATCCTACCACCTCCATTCTGTCATCTGGAATGACAAGGCAAATTAGACAATACATTTTAATCCAGACAGTGCGTTTGATCGCTTTAATACGCCAGGAATCTAAGAGACTAAACAGTGTTTAAAAAAGAAAAGAAAACTTACAGTGCGAACAGCACTTTGAGTTTGCACACAATAAAAAAAAAGGGAGTTAAAAATTTTTAAGGGGGGGGGGG